CTCAGGAGGTGGCCGGTGGGGACAGCGAGAGCCAGAAAGGCTCCAGAATGAAGGGGGGGCCGGACTGGGGCTGGGGCACTGGGAGGGATGGGTGTAACTGGGATTGGGGTGGGGGTCCCAGCTCGAGGTGGCACCTGGGACCAGATGGTGACGGGTGGGATCCCCAGGTCGGTGGCTGGACCTGTGACAACAGCTGGGTGGCCACTGCCATCGTGGGGACACTGGGTGCCTGCCCCCATCCTGGGGTGCTTGTCCCCATCCCAGGGACACTGGGTTCCTGTCCCCATCCCAGGGTTCCTGTCCCCATCCTGGGTTCCTGTCCCCATCCTGGGTTCCTGTCCCCATCCCTGGGTTCCTGTCCCCATGCCCGGGTTCCTGTCCCCATCCTGGGATGCCTTTTATCATTCTGGGGACACTGGGTTCCTGTCCCCATGGCCAGGTGCCTGTCCCCATCCCTGGGTTCCTGTCCCCATCCCAGGGTGCCCGTCCCCATCCCAGGGTGCCCGTCCCCATCCCAGGGACGTTGGGTGCCCATCCCCACAGAGGGGACACTGGGTGCCTGTCCCCATCACTGGGAGCCTGTCCCCATGGCCAGATGTCTGTCCCCATCCCTGGATTCCTGTCCCCATCACAGGGATGTTGGGTGCCTGTCCCCATCCCTGGGTTCCTGTCCCCATCCCAGGGTGCCCGTCCCCATCCCAGGGTGCCCGTCCCCATCCCAGGGACGTTGGGTGCCCATCCCCACAGAGGGGACACTGGGTGCCTGTCCCCATCACTGGGAGCCTGTCCCCATGGCCAGGTGTCCGTACCCATCCCCGGGTTCCTGTCCCCATCACAGGGATGTTGGGTGCCTGTCCCCATCCTTGGGTCTGTCCCCATCCTGGGGTGCCTTTTCCCATTCTGGGGACACTGGGTGCCCGTCCCCATCCTGGAGACATTGGGTGCCTGTCCCCATCCCTGGGTTCCTGTCCCTGTCACAGGGATGTTGGGTGCCTGTCCCCATGTCTGGGATGCTGGGTTCCTGTCCCCATCCCTGGGTTCCTGTCCCTGTCACAGGGATGTTGGGTTCCTGTCCCCATCCCTGGGTGCCCGTCCCCATCCCAGGTTGCCCGTCCCCATCCCAGGTTGCCCATCCCCATCCCAGGATTCCTGTCCCCATCCCAGGTTGCCCGTCCCCATCCCTGCGTTCCTGTCCCCATCCCAGGTTGCCCATCCCCATCCCTGGATTCCTGTCCCCATCCCAGGTTGCCCATCCCCATCCCAGGATTCCTGTCCCCATCCCAGGTTGCCCATCCCTGGGTTCCTGTCCCCATCCCAGGTTGCCCATCCCCATCCCTGGGTTCCTGTCCCCATCCCAGGTTGCCCATCCCTGGGTTCCTGTCCCCATCCCAGGTTGCCCGTCCCCATCCTGGGATGCCTTTTATCATTCTGGGGACACTGGGTTCCTGTCCCCATGGCCAGGTGCCTGTCCCCATCCCTGGGTTCCTGTCCCCATGCCCGGGTTCCTGTCCCCATCCTGGGATGCCTTTTATCATTCTGGGGACACTGGGTTCCTGTCCCCATGGCCAGGTGCCTGTCCCCATCCCTGGGTTCCTGTCCCCATCCCAGGGTGCCCGTCCCCATCCCAGGGTGCCCGTCCCCATCCCAGGGACGTTGGGTGCCCATCCCCACAGAGGGGACACTGGGTGCCTGTCCCCATCACTGGGAGCCTGTCCCCATGGCCAGGTGTCCGTACCCATCCCCGGGTTCCTGTCCCCATCACAGGGATGTTGGGTGCCTGTCCCCATCCTTGGGTCTGTCCCCATCCTGGGGTGCCTTTTCCCATTCTGGGGACACTGGGTGCCCGTCCCCATCCTGGAGACATTGGGTGCCTGTCCCCATCCCTGGGTTCCTGTCCCTGTCACAGGGATGTTGGGTGCCTGTCCCCATGTCTGGGATGCTGGGTTCCTGTCCCCATCCCTGGGTTCCTGTCCCTGTCACAGGGATGTTGGGTGCCTGTCCCCATGTCTGGGATGCTGGGTTCCTGTCCCCATCCCTGGGTTCCTGTCCCTGTCACAGGGATGTTGGGTTCCTGTCCCCATCCCAGGTTGCCCGTCCCCATCCC